GGGCCCTCAGGAATGTGGCTCAGCCCAAACCTTGTGCTAGGCCATTTCTGATAATTCTAGATAGTCATCTATACTTGAAAAGCTGAAAACAGCTCTCCATAAGTATATACTAATTCTACAAATATACTTTTAAATCTTATAAAGAAGCTTGTACTGTATAAAAGCCTCCCAAATGTGACCTGAATTTGAATTATATCTAATTCCTAAGCCAAAACCACAGTTTATGGGAAACAGGAACAATGGGTTTCTAGAGTGAGCCATGCCTGTCACAGTCACAGAGCTTTCAGCTTAGATCGGCAGAGTTCCTTTAGTTTACTTGTGCTGCATGGTAAAAGGAGGAGGAAAATGGGGTCAATGGCTCCCGAACACATCCTAGTGGTCTCGGGGTCCACGGCCCTCCCTGATCCCTAATGCTCAGTGGGCCTCCGTGGCTGGCTCTCAACAGGACTTTGCAGCAACTTGGATGGATTTAGAGTTGATCTTACTCAGTGATCTATCACAGAAACGAAGAACAGATGACCATATGTTCTCACTCATATGCAGACCTTGAACAATTATAATAATACTATAAGAAAGGGATTGGCAGTAGTGGGAAACTGCCAGGGGAGGAGAGGTGGGATTGGCAGTTGAGAGAAACTGCTAGGGGAGGGAGGGGCATACCTCATCAACAAGGTACCTGCATAATGAACATTTGTATACCTAACCCTGAATAGTACCCTACATCTTTAAAATTAAAAAAAAAATTTAAAGAAAATACTTGTCATAATAAAATGAATTATAAATTCAATGAACATTTTTGTTTATTAGAAAACTCCTTCTCCCAAGGAAAGTCGTTATGAAAACCAGGTCTGCCTTTATATTGGGAAACACTGCAGATCATACACCACTCTTGGAGGGTCCTAGTTCAGGAAGAATATCAAATATTCTGAAAAATTCTGAGTTAAATTTATTCAACCTAATCTTTTAAATATTTATGTTTTTAGTACTGTTTGGGAAAAATTGTTCCAATTTTTTAATGTGGAAAATATAAATGCTTGTTTATTTAATATGTTAGAAAATGTTTATTCAGATACCAAGTTTATATTGAATTTGGTGATTTATTTCGCTAATATTAAAAAAATCCGGGATTCCTCCTGCCAAGTCCTTGCCTTTCTCCAATTTTCCACTTTCCTCCTCAACTCTCAAATCTCCACATCACCAGGCAGCCTGAGACTCTGCCCTTGTACAGCAACACCATGCACAGATGTTAGCTAACAGCCTGACGGAACTACTGGTAGTTCTCTAAAGAGTGTCATGTGCTTTTCGTCCTCATGCCTCTTAGCATGCATATGAGTGGTCAGAGAGACATTCCTCCCTTATTTACTGGAAGATTCAAATCAGAGACTAGATTTTAGGAAAATTTACCCACTGCCAAATTAGATCATTATACCTGTTTTGCACCTCTTTCCCTTCTTTGTCTATTTTACAATGTACCATGTTCGTTTATTTTTTTGTTTGTTTTTGTAACTAAACTTTGTGAACTCTTTAGGGTTTAAATTGTATTTTATTTTTAATAATTTTTTTTTATTTTAAAGATGTGGTATACAATTCAGGGTTAGGTATACAAATGTTAATTATGCAGGTACCTTTGTTAATGAGGTATGCCCCCCTCCCCAGGCAGATTCCTCCTACTGCCAATCCTGCTTCCCCACCCTCCTCCCGGCAGTTTCCCATTACTGCCCGTCATTCTCTTATATTATTACAATAATTGTTCAAGGACTGCTTATGAGTGGAGCATGTGATACTCAGTTCTTTGTTTCTGTGAAAGATCACTCAGTATTATAGACTCTAAGTCCATCCGGTTGCTGTGAAGTTCATGATTTTGTTCTTTATGGCTGCATAATATTTCATTTTGTACATGTACCACATTTTTTTAACCCCTTCCTCTTTTGATGAGCAGCATGGTTGGTTCCCTGTTCTTGTTACTGTGAACAGTGCTGTGATAAGCATGCGCATGTGCAGGTATCTTTTTTATAGAGTGATTTGAGTTCTTCTGGGTAAATTCCCAGAAGAGGGATTGTGGGGTCGTTTGAAAGGTCGATTTTTAGATCTTTTAGGAATCACCACCCTGTTTTCCACAGAAGCTGTTTACACTCCCACCAACAGTGTAGAAATTAATTTTTCTTCTCCAAGAACAGCATATTTCTGGGAAATAAGGAATATTTAAATGTTTTGTGACATGAATGGAAAATGGAAAATTAAAGAATCATATTGCAAAACTTGAGTAGTGGGAAGAGCATCTTATTAGATATTTTATAAGAATAGTAGTTCTCATGGGTAAAAAAGTAAATCTGTTATAACAGTGACTACTGGTGGAAAATTAACTAGGATCTATTTTATTGTGCCATGTCTTTATGAGTCATTTTCCAGTAAGCACACTCATTACTTCAAGAACGTACAAGTAGCTCACTAAATCAAGTCTTTGCTCCTCTGTTTATGCAAACAAATGAGAAATAAATGCCTAAGACAATAATTCACCCACAGACATTGTGTGTGTGTGTATTTGTGTGTGTGTGTGTGCGCGTGTGCACATGCACACACATGCACGCACACTACTATAACAGAATGCCACAGACTAGTAATTTACAATGAACAAAAATATATTGGCTCATGATTCTGGAGGCTGAGAAGTCCAACACTGAGGGGCCACACTTTGCAAGGGCATTCTTGCAGGGTCATCCCTTGATGGAGGGCAAAGAGGGGACCAGAGAGAACAAGTGATCAAACTCACAGCCTCAGCCGTTTTATAATCATGGTTAATAAATTCATGAGGGTGGAACCCTCATAACCCAAACATCTTTTATTAGATCTCACCTCTCAACACTATCATTTGGGGATAAAATCCCAAGATATGGTTTTTTGGGGACACATTCAAATCATAGCAAGTATTATGAGTTTTGCTCCCCCCAAAGGGAAGCATTCTACTCTCATTTTATTAAAAAAGTGTGTAACCTGATTTCTTCCTTGTTTTTATTTAATTTTTTTGTCATGTTGGGAAAAAGAATAAATAGAATGTGTAAAAATGAGAAAAAGAACAAAATGAAGTTGTTTAATAAGAATATCCACCATGACAGATATTTGTTCACAGAAGGAAGAAGTTCCTTGGAGTAGAGAAACCCTGTAGTTTAGTCACAGTTTTATGGCTGTGTTGAAGTTTAGTTGTGTTAAAATTCTCTAGACACTTCAAACTTTTCTATTTTGGAGTAAGGGCAATGTTTTCATTCTATTTTCAAACAGTGGATGGCTAGCTTTTTGAAAATACAGATATTGATAAATCTTTTCTACTACAAAGTTCATGTGTGTCAATATAAGCTTTTGAAGTTAAGACTACATACAATTATGTAACTAACAAGAAAAAAACCCTCATTGAATAAGGAAAAACTATGATTCCAGTGTATAAGAGTCCCCAAAATTAGAATAATTATGATTGTTTTATCTACTTTGCATGGGTTATTTAAATTTCATACCAAAATATTTTATAACTCAAAATTGTAACACTAGGAAAAATGTGTAGTTTATGCTTCAATACAGAATTCCTCTTGCATAAATACTGTGAAATTTAAAAAGATGCACATGGAAGTCTTACTGAATATATTATTTTCAGAATATGTGTGTCCCTTCAGGAGACTGCATATAGAATTTTTACATTTCTTATCTTTGAATTGAAATATAGTGGATGCATAATAGAAGATGAAGTCACAGGGATGATATTGAGAAAATAATTACTAATGATGTCTTCATTGATGCTCTCAGAAATGAAATGAGTTCATGGGCTTCTCTGAATTTGATGAAGTGCTTGATATTCACTTTAAATGCGGATTTAAAAGACCATATGAAAGGCTAACATGCATTCACTGTTAGAATATTAATATAGCATCTGGAAAAAAGAAAGTCATCTTCCAGCTTCTCCTTGTTCTCATGAATTAACACCACCGGGACTGCTCTCTCCGCCTACAACCCCAACCTCAGCTAACGATTTTGAGCACAATTCATTGTGAAAATTGAAGTAAATAAATGAAAAAAAGAGGATCTGAGCAAAAATTGAAAAACAATTTCTTGGAGATCATTACGTTTATTTTTTTAATCTCTCTGTACTTATGCTTAAGGATGACAACTTGAGTGCATTTTTTTTTTTTTTGCTCTAATGTTAGGTTTTAAAACATGACATTAGTTATAAGGCTACTTATTTATGTTAATTATATTGTTCCAGATAATAAAGATATTGTATCTGTTGACCATCATGATTTAAAATGTTGTTTCTGTAGTGGGAACATGATCCTACAAGAATGCATAGACGTTCTATGATTAAGAAAGCGACCACTCTTAAAACTCATTGAAGTTGGAAGTGAAATCTGATCCATTAAATTAATGTCAAATAATACAACATAATAGATGATATTTGAGTACTTAACGTATTAAGTTTAGTCCAGGCACAGTAGCTTGTATCTATAATCCCAGCATTTTGGGAGGCCGAGGCGGGAGGATTGCTTGAACCCAGAAGTTCAAGGCCAGCTCAAGCAAGATATCCTCTGTACCACAAATCAAAAAATTAGCCTATAGTCCCAGCTACTTGGCAGGCTGAGGTGGAGGGATCACCTGAGCCCAGGAAGTTGAACCTGGTGAGCCGTAGACTTTAGTCTGGACAACAGAGTGAGATCCCTGACTAAAATATATATATATTTTTTATTTACTGTTATATAGTTATTTATTTATATTTGCTGTTTTCCTACAGTGAAGTGAAGTGATGATTTTCAGTCTTCTCACCTGCGTTTTGTTTTTAATATTCTACTAGGACATTTGTACATAAAAAGGATATTGCTTTTCTCCTTGTATTTTAAAACAAATAGTGATAGAAACAGACCAATTATTAGTCTTTTACAAATTAAATTATTTGTAAGCAAGTCCTCAGTTACATTCCTTGTATGTGTGATACGTATTTCAATGCGATTTTATGTTTGCAGGGTCCTCCGGGAGCGGCAGGTGCAGAGGGAAGACAGGGTGAAAAAGGCGCTAAGGTAAAATATAGGAGAGGGAAGCCAAAACAAAACCGGAATTCATCGGAAAGTCAGTTTTTTAATGACTGATGTACACTGGTAAACAGAATACCTTATTTAATTTGAAAGCCTATTATTTTAAAAAGATAACTGTTTTTATATGAAATTTTCCTTTTTTAAAGCCTTGTGTAACAATTCAGAAGAATACCAAAAGAATAGATTTGAGTTGAGTAAAAAGTCAAAAGAAAATACTTTAAAATGTTTTGTAGAAACATTTTCTTCCTTTTGTTTGCTATATCATATGAATTAAATAAACTGTCCCAGAAATGTACAAATTTTATTAAAATATTATAATCTTGGTATCTGTGTTAATTATCATAATGATTTGAAGGAGCACTTATTTAATTTTTTTTTAAACAACGGTGTTGAAGTATTGGACCATCATGTTTTATCAATAAATATATGAAATAACCCCCCAAAATTTATCTTTTTGAGGGCGGGCCCTTGTAGCACAGGCTTCCTCCACTAATTTAGAGTTCTAGGAGCCCATCAGTATCAGTATACCAGCTAGGCCTTGTTGTGAGAGGCTGTGTTCGGTTTCAGTGAATTTTTGTTTTAGATTGTTTGGATGTGGTTGCCCATTTCAGGATGGGTGATTTATGAGTGCACCTGGCCACACCATTCTGAGTGTTCAGCAGTTTTTGACCCAAATGGCATGACCCTATGCTCCACACTCCCTATTCACCTGACCGAGGCCTGAAAGACTTTTTTTTTTTTTTTGCTTCCCGGATGAAAAAGTCCTCAAAGGGAAACGTTTTGCCTATGTGGAAAGGTAAAACCAAAAAAAGGGCAAAAGCACTAAAAGGCATCAAAATGGGAGTTCAAGCTCTGTTTTGAGCAGTGGAAAAAGCATCTTGATAGGTGTATTTCATTAAATGGAGAGAATTTTGAAGTTGACTGAAGTTTAGACATGGAAGAATGAATACTCCATTTTTTTAATCAATGAATTCCAGGTTTTTTGGTAGGTATTATGTTTGAACATCTCATGCATACATTGAGCAACGTTTATTTCAGTACATTTACTAAAACACTCAGTAGTCATTTCTTATTATGAACATGTCGCCATATTTTATTTCCTAACAGGGAGAGGCTGGAGCGGAAGGTCCAGCTGGAAAAACCGGCCCAGTTGGTCCTCAGGGACCTGCTGGAAAGCCTGGTCCAGAAGGACTTCGGGGCATCCCTGGCCCTGTGGTGAGCATATATATTAAAAGATGCTACTTTGAAAATAACATTTCATTTCTAAAAATATTACAAATGGGAATGTTTATGTCAGCATTCTTTCATAAGTTGTTGTATGGATGTGTTTATTGGAATTCAATAAACATTACATAATAGATACGCTTAAAATATTTAAATGGCCCATTTATTTCCTCAGTTTATAGTGAAACTCTGATTTATAAAAGCAACATCAAAAACTAAACCCTAGACCTGGTATGATGGCTTATACCTGTAATCCCAGCACTTTGGAAAGATTGCTTGAGCCCAAGAATTTGAGACCAGCCTGGGCAACATAGCAAGACCTTGTCTCTACAAAAAAATCAGAAAATTAGTCAGATGTTGTTGCACATGCTTGTAGTCCCTGCTACTTGAGAGGCTGAGGCAGGAGGATCACCTGAGCCCAGGGGGTCAAGACTGTGGTTAATTGTGATCATGCCACTGGACTCCAGCCTGGGTGATAGAGTGAGACCCCAGTGGAAGGAACAAAGGAAGGAAGGAAGGAAGGAAGGCAAGCAAAGAAAAGAAAACTAAACTCTAAGATCCCAATGATGTACAATTTATATATATATATATATATGTGTGTATATATATATATATATGTCTATGCATATATATGTATGTATGTACATGTAGATATATAAACACATGTAGTAAAAAGACACAAAGTTACTTACAAAATTTGTAGCTGTCCTCTGTTGGTGAAATTTATATATGATGTTTGCTTTTATCTTTCTGTATTTCCAAATTTTTTAAAAAAGGATATGTGTATTTTTTATTAATAAAAAATAACGTTTATTTTTTTGTAGGGAGAACAAGGTCTCCCTGGAGCCGCAGGCCAAGATGGACCACCTGGTCCCATGGTGAGTAAGATATTTCTAAAACAAAATTGTTTGTAAGCTAGAATTTTTGAAATTTTATCTTATGTGTTGGTTTGTATTTTGCACAATATCTCAGGAAGTAAGTTCCTTAGGCCTAAATAGAGGACAATAATCCCAACTGATAGGTATACATAGTTTTTGGTTGAAAAAAAATTATTTCCACACAAATAAAATGCCGTGAATGAGGCAGCCAGTCATTTTCCCCGCATGAGCCGTTCCCCCAAATGCATGCAATTACATTGAGTTTCCTGGCACTTCTTTTAAAAGAATAAAGCTGGCACAGACATTCGTTGATTTCTTGACCAAATAAATTGTTCTCTGTGAGTCATACAGGATGAAATATAAAACAGTAAATCCCATTAGCGATGAAATGAATTAATAGTTTAGCACTGAAACTTGGTCACTAGCATAAACACTGTGTGCAAACCACATGCTTGAGAAACTCCAAATGGCGTTTTGTTGACTGACATATTCTTCACAGGCGGAATTTATACTAGGATCCAAGGTTATCCACGCTGCAATACTTAGGCATAAAGTGAGAATGAACGATATGTCCTTTAAAATCATTCCTGACTAAGTGACTTATTTGCTTTATACAAGATTCTATTCCATGTGGAGATATTTGAACTTAAGTGTTCAGAAATAGTTCTAGGAAAAGTTATTAAAATCAATACAGCAAATGATACGTGGGGGACTATGCATGTGTGATGCATATTAGTTTAAACAGTCACCTCCTTCCATATTGCAGTTTAAATTTTACTCAAATCACTCTTGTAATAAATACATTAATGATCTCAGAAATATATACATACTCAGAAAGCCATCCATTTGGGATTCACAGTTCTAATTTTTCAGGAAGAGTTTGGGCAATTCCTTTTAATAAAGATAGCACCTTAGCCGGGCTTGGTGGCTCAGCCTGTAATCCCGTGCCTTTGGGAGGCTGAGGTGAGTGGATTGCCTGAGCCCGCGGGTTCGAGACCTGCCTGGGCAGCGAGACCTCATCTCTACAATAAATCAAAAAATCAGCCGGGTGTGGTAGCATGCGCCTGTAATTCCGGCTACTCGGAAGGCTGAGGCGGAAGGGTCGCCGGAGCCCAGCAGGTCGAGGCTGCGGTGGCTTGGAGCGGCCACTGCACTCCAGTCTGGGTGACAGAGTGAGACTCCAACTCAAAATACATATAAAATAAAATAAAAAATAAATAAATAAATAAAGATAGCACCACAATTTCCTCCAACCCACCTCCTAAATATTTCATAAGTGTTAAAGAGATGATTTTAAGCATTCACTGAAGAAGTTAAAGATCACTTATTTAGTAACTAGAGAAAAGTTATCAAATGTTGATTGACTTCTGATGGGAGATTATCAGCTCTGCACATTATCTCCTCAGCATAGGAACGGGGACCTTGATAAAGTAGGATCAGCTCGGTGTTGGCACCACTGCTTAGGAATATTCCTGTCTAGATATGGTGAACTCTTAACTACCCAGAGTCGATGTGTAGAAGAAAAAATATTTTGCCTAAATGTCACCCTAAAAGTTGCCAGAGACTTTCATAGTTGTTGCTGTCATTTCAGAGTTTTCAATAAGTATTCTGACCTTTACAGGTGAAATAAAAAGCACCATGCTGGAGATTGCCTTCAGCTAATATTAAAAGTAAAGCCATCAGACATACCAACTGATTCTGGCTTGCAAAGTTTGTATCTCTGACACTTAAGTAATTGTGGGTTCACAGTGCAAGAATGCAGAGCAACTCAAATCCTTTTAGGCAAAGTAGAATTATATGTAAGCATCAGAAGTGAGCTGCGTTCCACTCAGTGACTGCTTGTTTTATTGGTGAGTACTTATAACATGACGTATATATGTGGCTTTTTTGGTAGGTTTAGGTAGTCTTAACTATAATATATAATCTTAGTTTTTTAAAATTTAATTTAATTTTTAAATTTTTATTTTAAAGATGTGGAGTACAGTTCAGGGTTAGGTATACAAATGGTCATTGTATAGGTAAAGTTTAGGCCTCACTTTGGTCCCCACTTCACCTAGTTTGAGATTGAGTACCCTTACTGGTGAAGTGTGCTTCACCCTCCTCTGGCAGTTTCCCACTACTGACTATCCCTTTCCTATAGTGTTATGATAATTATTCAGGGTCCTCTTATACGTGAGAACATGTGGTACTCAGTTCTTCATTTCTGTAATAGATCACTGAGTATTATAGACTCTAAATCCATCCAAGTTGCTGCAAAGTTCATAATTTTGCCCTCCTTTTTGGCTGTGTAATATTCCATCATGTATATGTACCACTTTTTTTTTTTTTTTTACCAGTCCACTTTTGATGGGCAGTGTGGTTGGTTCCATGTTTTTGCTATTGTGAATAACACTGCAGTGAACATACATGTGCTGTGAAAAACAATGTGGTGATTCCTAAAAGATCTAAAAATCTAACTTCCATACGGCCCAGCAATCCCCCTTCTGGGAATATACCCAGAGGTACTCAAATAACTCAATGAGAAAGATATCCAGTCTTATTGAAAATACTACTTTGTCCTCAGAAGATGAGGGTGGAAGGAGAAATCGTCTACAGAAAACCATATGTGGTGATTTAATGAGTTTTCCAGCTCAACTAAGACTTATTTTAGTAGATAAGTTTTAAATCAAAGCAAGGTGTGGCTTATGGTCACTGGTTATGATCATCAACTCTAGAGCCAAACTCCCCATTTCAAAAACAAGTGCCACCACTTACAAGCACTACTCGAACTTGCTGGATGACTTTAACAAAACTTGTTAATTATTTTGGTTTGTTTGTTGTTCTTTAGCTTTGGTTCTTCATTTGCAAATGGCAATATTAGTAGCATCTGTCCAGGGATGTATATATATATTTTTATTAATCAATATTTTTTATTATAGTTTTGTGGGATACAGTTAAGGGTTAGGTGTACAATTATGTTTCATTCAGGCACCCTGTAGATAAGAGGTGTTTTCCCATCCCCAGACAGATATTTGCTACTGTTAATCCCATCCCCCCCCACATAGTTTCCCAGTACCGTCAGTCATTTTCTTATAGTATTGCATTGGATGTTCAAGGTCCATTATATGAGTGAGAACATGTGATACTCGGATCTTTGTTTCTGTGAGAGGTCACTCAGTATTATAGACTCTAGTTCCATCCAGGTTGCTGTGAAATTCATGATTTTGTTCTTTTTAATGGCTGCATAGTATTCCATTGTGTATATGTACAACATTTTTTTAATCCAGTCCTCTTTTGATGGGCAGCATGGTTGTTTCCAGGTTCTTGCTATTGTGAACAACGCTGCGATAAACATATGTGTGCAGGTATCTCTTTTATAGAATGATTTGTGTTCTTCAGAGTATATTCCCAGTAGGGGGATTGCAGGGTCATATGGAAGGTCAATTTTTAGAGCTTTTAGGAATCGCCACACTGCTTTCCACAGAGGTTGCACTAGTTTACACTCCCACCAACAGTGTAGAAGTGTTCCCTTTTCACCACACCCTCTCCAGCAGCTGTTATTTTTTGAGTTGTTGATAATTGCCATTCTGACTGGAGTTAGGTGGTATCTCAGTGTGGTTTTGATCTGCATCTCCCTGATGATTAGTGAGGTTGAGTATTTCTTCATGTGTTTGTTGGCTGCTCGGATGTCTTCTTTTGTGAAGTGTCTGTTCATATCTTTTGCCCATTTTATAATGGGGTTGTTTGTTTTCTGCTTTTCAGTACGTTTCAGTTCCTTGTATATCCAGGATGTTAAGCCTTTGTCAGACCTTGTTGATCAATACTTTTTCCCAGTCTGTAGGCTGTCTCCCTGCTCTCTTGATGGTTTCTTTGGCTTTGCAGAAGCTTGTCAGTTTAATAAGGTCCCATTTGTCTATCTTCTCTCTTAAGTCCTGTGGGTTTCGGGTTTTGTACAGGAATTGGATGCCAGTTCCGATTTCCATGAGAGTATTTCCTTCCTTTTCTAAGGTTCTG